CTCTCTCTTTGAAATTTTTTCGGTTATTGAATGCATTTCCAGCAAAAACTTGCAAGTACTAGTAACAATTCGTAAAAATTTTGTTGATATTGAATGGACCTACTATTAAATTGAAGAAACAGTGGATTGCCGCTATGTCCAAAAAACACAGAAAGAATTGTTTTTTAATTAGCATATCTTGAACGAATTCGGAATGTCCAAGGTGGAAAAGAAACCTTTTGTATAAGGAAACAATTATAGAAAAGGAATTTTCTTACACTGTATTCATATCTCCGCCAACAATTTCTGACATCATTTGAAAGCAGCTACGGAGAACGACGACATTATTTATTAGATGGCACATTCAAATCAGTGTGCCAAAATGTGGGTATAAATAATTTTTTATTATTTAATATCGGAACCGAGATCATGTAAGTTGATTGATTGGTTTTCAGACACTTTTGAAATACAAATTAGAGCTGTAAAAGTAACGAAAATTTCTATACCCGTATGTATTCGTTACTAATCCAATCAACACCCGTATCTTTCTTATCGTTACTTTTTTCGTTACCTTTGATACAAGCACTTGGTACCTCACACTAATCATCGCAACGAATCTGGCGGCGTAAGGAAATGTTCGTTCGTACCCTGTAGTCAAATGTACTAGTTGTAAACTACTTCTCAACTAGTATGAACCGCATGCCCAACTAGTCAGCCAACTATCTTTTTTTCATGCAATCAACTGGTATTTTTAACATGGGGATGTCCTACGAGATGACAATTGTCAGATATCGGTCAGAAATATACCAGTCTCATGCTAGACAGTAAAATACTAGTCAAATTATGGACCAAAACAACTACTTTGGGAGTCAAACAAATAAAATGAATTCATGAATATACAATAAAAAACTTTTAAGTACACTTTAATTTATTAAACATATTTATTTAGCAGCCTTAGATTTGCCAATAAATAGTGTTAAATTTTTATTAAATATTCTTAATTTTTGGCTATAGTTTGCCTTGATGATTAATAATAGAAATTAATCAAATAATTATAACCATGTAATTAAAACAAGTCAAAAATAATTGAAAATGATCAAAAGTAACGAAACAACGATGTAATTAAAATTAATTAATTAATTAACATTTTTTAAGTAATTTATTACTTTTTTAAGTAAGAATTTTGTAAGTAATTAATTATATCGGTATTTAATCATTAAGCGGTTATCCAAACAAAGCCATGCTTTAATTAATAATCATTATGAATGTTAATTATTATTTAACAGGTATGGTATAACTGCGAGTACGTACTCGCTTTAACGGTTTACAATATAGCCAAATAAAAGTTATAATATTTTGTGTACTTTGTTGTATTAAACTGTCGAAGTCAAATAAAATAGGGCATGAATAAATCGTTTTGTACTTGGTACAAGTCTGGTCATTTTCGAAATAGATCGGTTTCTAGCATGAAATTCTAGTTGTAAACTAGTATTTTTCCTGACTAATTTGGGATTTCACTGCAGGGTACATATGCATACATGTACGTACATATACACGCAGCACACTTTAGTATCTCTAAAACAACAGTTTCGTTCCCGCACAATATCGAGCCCTAACCGCCAAAATAACATAAGTGACAATTTTTTCAAAATTTACTTTTTGATGTAGAATTGCATCTGGATGCTCTAGGAATATTTCTGCATCAAAAAGAAAATTTTGAAAAAAATTTCACTTACGTTATTTTGGCGGTTAGGGCTCGATATGTTGTGTTGTATTGATTCACTATTATGTTAGTAACGATTCGGTACTTCGAGTCAGGGATTGTATTCGTTACTCATACGGTTACTTACATACGGTTTGCTACAGCTCTAACACAAATTAGCTATAATGTCAATTGACTTTATTTCGCACCATTATGCGAAATAGTGTCAATTGGCCTTATTTCCGCTGATGTTGTTACATGTCGTCGTTATTCGCACCAACGGACAGATGCTGCTGCATTTAGGCCTTCCACTAAGTTCGTGAGCGCCCTTGTCAGTCTACAAATTTATGTTCATCCGATTTATGATTGTGTCTAAAGTAAAGCATTTTATTATCGGTTTAAAATTGGTTTACAACCAAGAAATATACACATATCAAAGTCCGATAATAGAAATGCTTAACTTTAAACATAGCTTTATTTTTAGTCCAACCTTTAAATATAAAGTGAGCTTTAAAGTTAACGGTTACTTCAGAAAATGGCCCTTAATCGCATAGAATACAAATACTATTACGCTGGCTGGACAATTTGTAAAAAAAAAACAAAAAAAACTATAATTTTTATCTTTGGAAACTTTAACTTCACATATATGTATGGATGCAATTACTTTGAGGAACTCATAGACCTTTCCCACCAGTCTCACTAAAATATTTTTTAATATTTCTATGAAGGTTATATAACCCTTATATAAAACGAAACCGTATAGTACACTTATATTTTATAGAGACATTTTTCAGCGACCCACCAGTCAAAACCTTACAGTCTACCTTTTTTACAAGCCGTCACTTTTTACAAAGTCCCAGATTAGTCCACAGATAGTCAAATATACCTCTAGCTCTCTTTTCTCAAAGAGACCACCTCGATAACACAGCATACTAACCAATAAATAATTAACAAAAATATACATATATTCAATGCAATATTTCTCGTCAAAATTGACAAGTCGAGCGTTCGTAAATGTGCAATCCCAGAAAAGTACATAAATGGTCAAAAGAAAATTAAGCAAATACTTCTGCTCAGATTAATTTTCCTAATAAAAAGGAAAGCTTGAGCTTAGTTGAAAATCTGTTCTTATCGTAAGCTTCCCAGTGGGAAAAGTGGTAATGCATTACATGCGTGATAAATAATTTAATGTATCTTTAATGAGTTGCAGATTCTATTTCTATTTAATATGTAATCAGAATTCTAATGTATCCAGAAAGACACAAAAATTTCATATTAAATCGCATTTATTTTTGCATTACTGATAATGCAAAAATGAATGCCCCACTTTTCCTAGGACATCGACGTGGGAAAAATAATGCATTTTCGAATGTGAAAAAGGCTGTTTTACCGATTATTTTTTCGATTACTATACATTATTTTTTTCCCACTGGGTTGTTAATAGCTAATTTACAATTATATAGCTTTAGGTCTCAGACAATGGTGCCGATTGTAGCATGCATCTATGTGTGCAATATTCGACTGCTAAAGTGGCATGAAATTGAAATGAAACTTGATTAAAACGAAAAACATTAAAACAAAAAGAATTAATAATTGTATGCGCTTCAAACATTTTCGTACTCTAATACGGCTAAATAGGTACATATGTATTTATTTATAGGGTGATTCAATGCAAGTTTATACTAAAGGTTATGTACGCAGGTATGAAAAAACTCGTAACTTCTACAGTTTTGGTGTTTCCATTCTCAAATTTTTACAGCGTACTCCATATAGTTCGATAACTATTCAGGTTGAAAAAAATAAAAATCAAACATGATGAAGTTAATAAAAAAATAAAAAACTAAAAATAAAAATAAATAATGCGATTTTTTAATGCAAACATTTTTTTATTTTAATCTATCTCCTGGAAAGCCGAGGAAATACGCACATTTTGATACCTTAACTGATTTTCTCCGACAAATAGTTTATTAACTGCAAACAATTAAAAAAGATACTTCTCCGTTACTTCAAAATTTCGGGAATTTTTTTCGAGATTTTCGAATATCATGACGAAATAAAAAAGGTGTTTTCTTTTTTTCGATAAAGAATGTAAAAAAATATATTTCACCCAAAAGAAATATTGAGGTGTAAATATCGTATGGAATGACCCATATAAGTCCTATAGACTAAAAGCCAATCATCTCAAAAAATTTGGTTGTGTTTTAATCAGGTACATACCGTAACGTTTATGATATTTATAATAAAACTCATAGTTTAACCGTTAGAATATGATTTCTATTTAAATGTAATAACTATTTTATGATTTTTATTTTTTCGAATAATCGTTACCTTTTATATTTTCGATCATAAAAGATTTAAAAGGGCCATAAAAAGGCAGCCTCCATTATAAATAACGATTATATTTGGTCAACAATATAAAAATCCAAATTCTTTATAGAAACAATAAAAATCTAAAAGTTACGATTATTCGATGAAAATCCTGGGATTTAACGTTAATTTCCGATCGCTGGCTTTATTTATTAAAGAAAATCTGCGGTATTGTTGAATCACCCTGAATATGGCGGTGGAAACGACAACTGGCGTGCTAGAGTTTGTTTTTGGGTTTATGACTTAAATGGCATTTTGTGTAAAAGTGATTAAGTGTGTTTATATGAGTCAGTTAATATTCGTGCAATTTAAGATAGCACCTTCCTTTCACTAAACAAACATTAAACAAATTTAAAATAATAATAATAATAATCATATGCAGTGAAGTAAGAGGAAGCGACGGACAACGACAAATTCATTAATAAAGTGATACAACTTTTAAACAAACAGATCAACTGACAACAACACGACCCAGTAAACATTTTTGTTATATCTAAATTTGAGATGCATTTGAGAATCAGTCCTTTTCTCACATCTCAAGCGTTAGTTCTCAAATGCATCTCAAATAACCGTTGATAGCGTTCTCAAACTAAAAGGTACTTTTTTAATATGGAATTTTCCTTTCTTTTCAAATTGGGAAATGTTGAGTTCTCAACTTTTTCTCAAACGTGAGTGGAGCGGAACGAAATGAAATCCAGTTACTCTCATTGAAATATTGGTATAGTGTCCAATGATACATGTAAGAGAAATATATTTTTCATAGGAAAGGAATTTTTATTTACGCAGTTCAACACTTTATTTAATAGCTTATTTATTCAGTTAGTTTAACGCAGAAAAATACGGTTGATGTAAAAAAATTAGTTGCACAGTTTTTCTAGAAATTAGAAAAATTGCGAATAACAGCGACCGCGTCGTCGAAGAGCCATTTTGCGACTGATGTAGCGGACTACCGATGGACTACGACATCTGTGCCATGCCTACACCGATGGAACAGAACGGAATGGTAATAAATTTTTTCTCAAATGTTTCTCGCTTCTAAATTGATAAACAATGTTTGAGAAAATGTCTAGTTTCAAATGTTAAACAATGCTAAAAATCAAATTGAGAAATACGATTTTCTCAAACGTTTGAAAATTTTTGTTCCAGTGTTTGTTGGGGAACAACAAATAGTAAATAGTAATAATGGTCAATGTAAATTTTGTTGCCTTTTATACGTTGCACAGCTTTGCCATTTGGAGGGCATGGAATTGAGCTGACATCGCCGTTAGGGAGCAAATGAACGACACTCGCTGAGAGCTCAGCGTTTGATCGCTTTTTGGCTTGGGCCAGTTTAGATTTGGGCAGCGTAGGCTACCGTATTCGTTGCGTAAGTTTATTGCTGAGAAGTTGACGTTTTTGCATTTGAAGCCGCGTTCGCTTGGCAGCTTGTTAATCAACCGATTAAGCTAAACTAAAATGCAAATGCAAATCGTGTGAAACTTTAGCGAAATGCGTTTCTTGTTATTGGTGTAACCAATGCTGATATTTGCCATTGATATTGCAAGGCAGATGCCACAAACTAGCAACAAGTATGAGAGAGTTCGCAAGCTTGGCACTAAATTTGTTTTACCCATACGCATATTCATTTATTTACATTGCTTAACGATAACTCGATGGTCTACAGCTCTGACGATGAAGGGATGTTATGTCTATAAATGGCCAAGAGGCGCAAAGTTGAGGTGTTAGTTGAGAAATTTCAATCGACGGGTTAACCACGCAGTGGCAGCTCAGTAAAAATGGTGAGTAGAATTGGAAGATGCATTTTTAAATATATCTAAAAATCGAAAAATCATCACCATTTTCTTAAAATTCACATCCATATTCTAACAGTCACAAACCGTAGCTCATCACTGCTGCGATTTCTACTGCGCCTCAAAGTTTGCCGCCGCAACAGATACATATGCCTCTACAACACACATTTTTAAGTTTTAGACAATTTTGTTGGTTTTTGTTACACATTTCGCGGCGCACCAGAAATCACAACAGTGATAAGTAGACTGCGGATTTTTATTATTAAAAATAAGTACTAGTGTATAAATTTCTATAAACAAAATGTATACAAATTTATACGATTTGCTTATAGTTGAGTGGTACATATATTTAGGCTCCGTATTTTGCATACAAATCCGCAGTCTAGTGATGAGCTAAGTTTTGTAACTCTGTTAGAAGACGGGGTTAGTCTAATTAAAAAATATAGCTTTAAAGAGGTATTTTTATTTCTGTCGTTTGCAAACATGTTACTAATTCATTATAAATTTTTCACCATTGAATGCCCTTATAATGAAATAACATTTTTTTTTTACCGTAGGAATTGTACGCCATACTCTCCATTGCGACGCTGTTGGCAAGCCAATTAGTTAACGCCGATGTCAGCCATTTATCCAGTAATCAATATTTGCCGCCCAGCGCGCACAGCTATTCCGGTGAAAATGCAATCGTGTCCTACCAGTCGCCAGCGCAGCAGCATGAACAGCAGTACCAACATCCACAGAAGAGTTTTCTGTCCAGTGGCATTGAGATAACCCGATCGATTCCCATCGTTAGTTTTTCTTTGGGTAACGCAGCGCCCGAACAGCCTGTTTTGTCTATTCCTCCGTCGGCGGAAGAACACAATGATGGCTCTTTTAAGTACGGTGCTCCAGGTGGCGCTCCTGCACCACTGAGTTATGCCGTTCCAGCTTCAGCACGAACCTACTCGGCCCAGCCTCAGCAATCTTATTCAGCTCCACCAACGATATCCAATCAATATCTTCCTCCAGCTTCAGCATTAGCTGCACAGAGTTTTTCGGCTGCGGCTATTCCGATCGAGCAGAATTACTCTGTTCCACCTTCAGCTGGGCCATCCTATTCTGTCATTGCTCAGCAAACTTATACGGCGCCAGAACCAGAGCCAGCGCCAGCCCCACAGCCACAGCTATCCAGTGAATATCTTCCACCCGTTTCGGCGCCTTCTCCTCAAGCCTTCCAAGCTCCGGCTGTGTTAGCCGAAGAGGAGTATTCTGCACCAGCACCGGCCGCTGCACAGCCCCAACCAGCACCTCGACAAACTTATGTGGCGCCAGTACCAGCCCTGCAACCATACATTTCCAATGCTTATCTACCACCTTCTTCGGCGCCTGCTCCGCAGACGTACTCCGCCCCAGCCCCTACTCCAGTTCACAACACTGCTCAAGCTCCGGCTCCTATATCTCAGGTTTTTAGCGCGCCCGTTCAGCAGTCATATTCAGTCCCAGCTCAGCAGAGCTTTGTTGACGCACCTCAGGTTTCAAGTGGCTATCTTCCACCTGCAGCAGCACCTGCACCCCCAACACAAACTTACTCAATCGCTCAGGAGGTAGTCGAAAATCATTCCGAGCATGAACAAAAAAGTAGCCAATCAGGTGGCAAGGTCCTAACCCAAACAACTGTACAAAATTCGTCGCAAAATCAGCGAGAAAGCGCGCCAGTTACACAGCATGTCGCAGATCAAGCGCCGTTTTTGCCTCAGCAACAATCGCACTCAGAGTATCAATCTAACGAAGTATCATCGCCTGTACAACAGACCCACGGTGCGCCAGCTCCTGAACCAGCACCAGCGCCAGTAGTTCAACAGTACTTGCCTCCAACTGTTGTTAACCAACAACACCAAGCACCTCTAGGAAAAGAAAACTCAGCGTCTGCAGCTCCTCATCAATCGGGTCCAGTTCAAATCTCGATCCAGGATTCTCACACTGCAGATGCACCAGCTCCAGTCAGCCAAGAATATTTGCCACCAGCTCCACAAAAACAAACTTATTCGCCTCCAGCTGCAGCACCAATTACTCAGCAGTCATATTCTGCACCTACTGATGCTCCAACTCCAGTCAGCCAGCAGTATCTACCTCCAGCTTCAGTTCAAACATTCAGCGCTCAGTCTTTGCAAACTCCTGTTGATCATGAGTCGTATTCGGCTCCAGCTACAGCTCCTATCAGCCAACAATCATATACGGCTCCTGCACCAGCGCAATCTCCAGTTAGCCAGCAATATCTACCTCCAGCTCCAGTAAACAAATCCAATGCTGAGTCTGTGCCAGCTCCAGTTGGTCATCAGCCTAATTCAGCTCCAGCANCAAACTCCTGTTGATCATGAGTCGTATTCGGCTCCAGCTACAGCTCCTATTAGTCAGAAATCATATTCTGAACCTGCTGAAACTCCAGCTCCAATTAGCCACCAGTATCTACCTCCAGATCCAGTAAACAAATCCAATGCTAAGCGTGTGCCAGCTCCAGTTGGTCATCAGCCTAATTCAGCTCCAGCCCCAGCTCCTATCAGCCAACAATCATATACGGCTCCTGCACCAGCGCAATCTCCAGTTAGCCAGCAATATCTACCTCCAGCTCCAGTAAACAAATCCAATGCTGAGTCTGTGCAAGCTCCAGTTGGTCATCAGTCTTTTTCGGCTCTAGCGCCAGCTCCTATTAATCAGAAATCATATTCAGCTCCTGCACCGGCGCAATCTCCAATTAGCCAGCAATATCTACCTCCAGCTCAATCACCGCAAACTCCAATTAACCATCAGTCTCATTCGGTTTCGGCTCCGGCTCCTATTAGCCAACAATCATATTCAGCACCTGCGCCAGGCCCAACTCCAGTCAGCCTGAAATATGCTCCACAGTCTTATTCTGCGCCAGTTCCACAAAGCCACTCAGTTAGCCAAGCGTATTTGCCACCAACTTCAGCGCGTCAAAATTATGAAGTTCCTGATACCGTTTCCGCCCCAATTCAACACAGCAGCCATTTAGATTCAGCTGATTTGAGTCAAACTGTGGTGCAAACCTCTTCAGGCTATCAGTCGGGGAGTAATGGCCAAATACAATCGTTCCAAAACGAAACTCCAGCGCCACAGCAGCACTCATCTGTTCCAGCGGCTGTTGTTCATACTGGCACAAGTTCTCAAGCCTCTTCAGCGGAAGGCAGACACCAACAATCTGGCACAATATACGGCAGCAACGGTGGCTATGTATACGAAAAAATAAAATAGAGATGAATTAGGAGATATGAGAAAGAAAAAGTGAAGATAAGTCATAGCCGCCATGGTTGTCGCCACTTGTTTTCTATTTTAATTTGCATTCTATTATTTAAACCTTCTTAAAGCTTTTTTTTGCCATGACGTCAGCGTATTTGTCGCACCACAAGAAATTTGTTTACCTGTTACTTATTACCTATATTTGTAAGTAAAACTTATCGATTACATAATTTTTTATAATTAAATTTGTTTTTTGTTACTTAATTTATGTACTAGGAAAAAATAAAATAAAAAGTAAACTTAACATCAGTTGTACAAATAGTGAAAACTAATGAGACCGACGCACAGTGCTTCCCTTCCATATAAAATGTGGGCAAAAATGGAATTATGGATTGATTTAAATGAAAATTCGCTTTTTAGTAAAATTGAGGACTGAGGAATGAATTAGATATTACAATATGGCTATCAATCGATATGGGTTTAAAACTCATTTACTTCTAAACTAAATGTAGAAGAGTTGCCACATGTTTAAAAATAAAATTCACTTTAATTAAGGGATTAAGGCAACTGAAATATGTATATCAATATCAGACAAAAGAAAAAATTGGACATATTAAGCAAGAAATAAGTGAAGAGTAAAAACATTCCATTGGCGGCCGCAGTGCTCGCTTACACTCCGCAGCGCCTGCGTTCAAGCCCTAGTCAAATCAACATCGCAAAAACAAAGAAATAAGGTTTTTTCTTAACACGGTCACCCCTCGGCAGGCAATGACAAACCTCCGAGTCTGCCATGAGAAACAGCTTCTCATAAAAATACAATCGCCGTTCGGAGTCGGCGTAAAACTGTGGGTCCCTCCCCTTTGTGTGGCAACATCAAGGCGCACGCCACAATTTGGAGGAGAAGCTCAACTAAGCACTAACATATATGTGTAAGCTCCAATCGGTTATTGTTATTAATAACAAATACGATGTAGTAAACATTTCGTTTGACACAACTATTATTTTAGTTTAATTAAGTTTAACTTTACAAACAAGTGGCAACCCTCTTCGTAACATATGCAAGCTAAAACCTTCTTAAACCGCTTTCGGCTGACTCCAATATGGTGATACTCATCTTTTTTAACAAAATCATTCCTTTAATTCCAATGGAATTTGATTTTTTTAACAGGTGGCAACCTTCTACACATTTCCACTGATATCAATCTCTTAATAATTCATTTAACTTTTAAACAATTTGAATTAAATTTTATAAGAGGTGGCAACTCTTAAAAAAAAATAAACCTCTGTTGTTTACAGGTCAAGCTTTTTAATCTGACACTTCATTTTTTAAAACAGAACCAATCGTACAGATGTTGTGGCACTGAAAAAAATCATTTTATGCATTAGCAAAAAACGCGTTACTTCAAAAAGTGCACAAAATGACCGGGTTTTTACTTCTTCTTTCGAAAGCTAAAAACCTGTACTACTTAATAAAATAATAAAAAATAACATATTTTTACAAATATTTTTTATTTATTCCATTAAAATTTACCATTTTTTTAAATTTTTATAAAAAAAAAAAAAAATTCTAGAACACCGCAGGGACATCCTGTGTTCAATTTTATTCCAAAAATTTTATGCCTGTAGTTCTCTACTATCTATATGGAAACAAAGAACTTCAAACCAACATTTTGCTTCAAAGAATATATTTTGGACATTTTTCTCCGTGAAGAGCTTACGCATGGCTATGCTCTTATTAAAATTCTTAGTATAAAATTTGTCGAATTTAGTGGCTTCCTGGTGACATATAGATTACTTTATAGGAAAATTTCTGTTTGATTCTTTTTAGTGGATATATTACCTTTACAAAAATACCAAACACGTTCACATTGGCGGCAACGAGTTTTTCGATTTTTGCCCACTTAGGCGTCACTGTGCGACGTCTTAAAAAATTTAACTTGTTTAATAAAAAACTTATATTTCCATAACTGGCGCAAAAGTCTAGTGCTGCCAGCTAGAACAAGGAATGCATTCCCCATCAAATTCTTCACTAGAATTTTTTTTTATGTTTAAGTTTGCATAAGTTATCCTAAAGTAGTTGAACCAATTTGGCCACCCATATCTAATTAGCATCTAAAGCGCATTTCTGAAATTCGATTCGCCTTTAGTAGATACTACTAGTAGAACAGCACTTTCAACTTTTTGAAACAAGTCAATCAACTAAGTGGTGCAACATTTTTTTAGATAACAATCGTTTAGTGTGACAACAACACTAGAACGGTTTCTTCGAGATGGGCATTGGACTTAGTTTATGCTAAATAATAAAAATAATTTTTAATATTTTTATTGAGCTTTGTACCATGATTGTTTATTAGGAAAAATTGAAAAAGCAACAATAAACAATCGTGGTACAAAGCTCAATAAAAATATTAAAAATAAAATGTTAACAATCCACAATAACATTGACAAATAAAAATAATTATTTAAACGATTGTAGATACATACATAACTACACTCATAGTACCTCGCAGGAAATTTCAGGGTAAAACTCCAAGACCAGGAAGTCTGGGCAAATATATCCCTTCACCTTAATTGTAGATATGTAGATCGATGCACAGGCAGGTCAAGGATGGAAGGCCGATATTTAAAGATCCCGTATAAAACTTTCTATTACAACAAGCAGATGGATAAGTAGGATTTTCACCATTGTTGATATTTAAGCTTTTTAAATTGTACCAAATTAATGACGAAAAGTGTAACTTTTGGAGCTTAATTGTACTTTTCACCATTTCCGTCAACACATTACCTCCCTTTTCCCGCAACCAAACAAAACCAATTTTTTTGTCTACTGCAGTGTGTTTTGTTGTTCAATTCATTGCACAGCTCCAGTGAGTGTAGGCTTAATTTATTGTAACTTATCATTGAGATCTCTTCAGCTAGCCTATAAAGCCTTGGCCACTTTTGTTAGAAAGTCCCACTAAGTTCAACTAAGTTTCGCTTAGAGTTTAACTTAAATTATACACAAATAATTTCTTGAATTATATTTCACATGTTTAAAAGTAAAATGCTGCTGTCACCCGGTTTGGGCTATTTATTATAGTTTTTCCAAATTAATTTTAATTATAATTTTTTTTTATAAAAGTATAGCTCATTGTCTAACAAAATCTATACAACTAAAATTTAATTTAAAATATTGAAAAAAGTCAACAAAAAACGAGTAAGAGCAGCGCTGTCTTCGGCTATGCCGAAGGCTTCATACCTTTCATGAACATCTGAAAACTTTACTTTAACAGATTACTGCATTTGAAAAAATTTATATATTCACAGCACACATAGATAGATGAGTTACATATATAAAAATCTTATCTAAACAATCAGAGGTATGGAAAATATACCTTATATAGCACCAATCAAAGTGATTTTCACTGCTGTGTGATCGGTATGTAAACCGGTAACACAATTTAATGGGTTTAGCTTCCTACATAAAGGAGATATATCGCAAAAACTGGTATAGGAACAATCACTGGTATACGAGATAAGGCTTATACAGCATAGATTTTGAAAATTTTCTCAGTAGACTTTGTATTATTATTTATACAATAGCTCACGAAATTTATCGGTTTTAGCTGTCCAAATAAATNTTAGCTGTCCAAATAAATTAGTTTTACATTAAAACCCCATGTCTGAACAATCAGTTATATGGAGGCAATATATAAGTTACAGTGACCCGATCTTTGTTAATTTTACTGTAAACTATCTGTTGATAATGAGTGAAAATAGTGCGAAATATCATGTTTCTAGCTGTATATATTTAGAAGTTATAACAAAGAATCTCATATCTGAACAACCAGTTGTATGGGAGCTATATATAAAAGTGACCCAATCTTTGTTGTTTTCACTGTAAGAATTCTGTTGATAATCGTTGGAAGTATTGCAAAATTTCATGTTCCTAGCTGCATAAATCGAGGAGTCATAACGAAAATTCTCATAACTGAACAATCAGTTGAATGGGAGATATATGTTATATTGACCCGATCTTTGTTATTTTCACTGTACATATTCTGTTAATAATGAGTGAAAACGGTGAGAATTTTTATGTTCCTAGCTGCATAAATGGAGAAGTTATGGCAAAAAATTGCATATCTGAACAATCAGTGGTATGGAGGCTATAGGTTATAGCGACCCGATCTTCGCCATTTTCACTCTAAGTTCTCTGTTGATAATGGGTGGAAGTATTGCAAAATTTCATGTTCTTAGCTGCATAAATGGAGAAGTTATAACGAAAAATCTCATATCTGAACAATCAGTTGTACGGGAGCTATATGTTATATGCTATAGTTATAGTTATGTTAGTAGTCCGATTCTTCTGGTTCTGACAAATGATTAATACACTATAAAAATACACCCACCTACCAAATTTCATCCGGATATCTCGAAAACTGAGAGACTAGGTTGCATACAAACGGACGGACGGACAGACAGACAGACAGACAGACAGACGGACAGACGGACATGGCTAAATCGACTCAGTTCGACGTTCTGATCATTTAAGTATGCATTTTAATGGGTCTATCTCTTCTTATTCTGGTACTTATGAACATCGGACCAAAGTTATAATACCATTTCATGCTCATGAAAGGTATAAATATGTAGTAAGTATAGGACCTATGCGAATGCATATAAATAAAAGACTTAAGTTTTATTATAGCTAAAATAACCTTTTTTATTAATTCTAAACTACAGTGTAGTCAGAAAATTCTTCTTCTTCCGTAGAACGTATGATTGCTTTTATTATTAACACTATAAAGAATATGACTAAAATTATAGCACAACACTTTCATTATATTTTAATCAATAATGTTAATCGTTTTTGCAAAACGTTTTGTTACACAAAAAGGCCTAAAATTAACGATAAAAACAAAATAAATGTATTGTGTTATAATTCGTTATATGTTTTTACAGAGTGGAGAATGAAAGCAAAATCGCACATTCTACGAAACAAGCGCAGATTTTACGAAAGTAATTTCTTTAAATAC